CCATGGAGCTTGCTGAGACACTATGAGGCCACACAGGGTCATGGAGCTTCTCCCCTAAACATGCTTACAGCATATGCAATAGAGATCAGATATAAGCAACTATACATCATGGATTTACAGGACGTGATGAGTGTCTTCAGAGAGGTACAAGGGCAGTGCTGTGGGAATTCAGGAGAAAATAAACATTACTTCTGGCTGGGGCAGTCAGAAAAGGGTTCACAGAAGATTCGGTCTCTGAGCCGGACCCTGAGGACACCTGGGATTTGGAAGCCCTGAGGTGGGTGAGAAGGCACTGCACGTGCGCACAGGAGGTAGGGGCTAGGGCAGTGGCCTCGCAGCCTGATGTAGGTTGGACCCCAGCTTTGACACTGACTTAGCTGAGTGCTCTTGGACAAGATACTTACCCTCCTCAAGCTTCTTAGTAAAATAGGGACAGTACCCATTTCATAGGATATTAAGGGGATTGAGGGAGATGATGGCTTGTATTAGGACGTAGCACAGTGCCTGGCACATAGTAAGTACCGAGTGAATGCTAGTTCGAGCCGATTCTGAATCTATTGCTGCCTTTCCTTGGGCTTATCTTCCAACACTGGCCCTTTGATTGCTTGAAGTCCTCATCCACTTTGGCCCCTCATGGCTGGAGCCCTGGGAGACGTGCAGAGGAGACGCGAGCCACTAGAGGAGAGGCGAGAATCGCTAAGCAGGCGTTCCTTCCAGGGTTCCTGGGGGTCCCGTGGGCTCTGAAAGCTGAAAGCAGCTGGGAGTTTTGGGGCATGAGGGATGCCGGAGCCTCGGAACTTTCTAGGGGCTGCGGGAGCCGGCCCCAGTGGGTGAGAGAACTTCCCTGCAGGCTCACACACACCGCGCCTGAGTCGGCCTTGGGCAGGATGGTCCTCCAAGCACAGTGGGGCAAATGAGGAAAGACAAATCAAGGTGCACGAGTCCAGGGAAAATGGCTGCTGACCGCAGCATCCTAGAAGCTCCATCCCATGCCAGCAGGGTGCTCGCTGTTGCTGTGCAGAGCGTGAGTGCCCAGCCCCGGCTCTGATGGAGGGCACGGGGAGAACCAGGGCTTCCCCGACCAGGCTCCCGAGAAGCCTTACTAGCCAGGAGGCCTTAGCCCTGTCTCCAGCCACCCTAACTCAGGGCAAATTTCTTTCTTTCTTTTTTTTTTTTAAATTGTTTTTAGGCAAATTTCAAAGGACTCCTCCAGAATTTCACATTCTTTTATTCCCCCTCTTCTCACCTGATTAGCACTTGGAAAGTGAGTGACTAAGGGAGGAAGAGGGACTAACTAGAGCCTTGGTTACAGGCAGGCCCTCTCCTGTCTGGCAGGATCTCTGTGTGTGAGGAATCCTTGGGGCACGCAGCCAGAGGTGATAATATGAACCCGGGTGCAAGGCAGACGCACAAAGCAGGGCAGAGATGTATTGTTTCAGGCTCTTGGTTTTCCAACAAAGTGACTTCCAGGCAGAAGGAAGTCCAGACAGAATGATCCTGTCAGGAACCTTCCAGAACAGCAGGTCAGCTTGGCTCTACTGTTGCAGCTGGAATCTTTAGTTCCCTTTTTCTCTGGATGACATCTGGTATCTCTTAAACCAAGAGAAAATTTGAGGTTGTATTTCCCCTGAGCTATTGGAACACAGCATGTTTCTATTTGAATGACTGGAGGTTCAAGTGAATCCCTTGTGCCTGATTTTGGGTGGGGAGGGATGGACTGAGGGCTGAGAAAGTGCTGTTTTGAGTTTTCTGAGTGCAGGGAGGGCTTTCCAAGAAAAGATAAAAACTCTGAGGGAGTAAGGGGCCGTCAGCGCCCCCGCCTCCA